GTCATCCGGAGAAGTTCGCATTTTCACCCGTCCTTTGAGCTTAATTGAAGTACGATTTCGCGCAAATCCGTGAATTTCGTGTACTTTGTGTGTGTACGTGACGAAAAAGTCGTGACGAATGTTTTCCTAAGGCTTGAAGTCCTATTTGGAACATTTTCCTTGAATCTACGCAACATAGCCCATAACCGCTCGTTCATAAGACGATGGTCTTGTGCCAAAGATGCTAGACATCAAAGGAAAATAGGAATTGGCTGGAATTTCTAGAAGGGTGAGTCTCAATTCTAGTTTTCTAAGATGGTCCATAGGAATTTCTAGAGCTAGAACCTAGGCTCTAAGGAGGAGAAGAAAAGACCTCACAAAAATGAGGTCAACAACTACATGGCTTATCCTAATGAAAACAATTGCGTAATAAATGATGGTCATTTATCAATAAGCGATGTTTTGTAACTTAACTTGGTAAAGGTTGATTGGGAATTTACAAAAAAACAATGTCATAACCAATTTCAATGAAAAGTGGAAAAGGTTGGACATTAAAACAAGTATAAGAGTAGCTACAATGAATATGGAGATATTAGATAGAAAGGCTAAGGAGATAGTGAACAAAACAATTAAAAGATTAATCAAAGTTGCATACTTAAAAAAATAACCATGATAATTAGCCTTATCTCGATAATTTAAGGTTTGGTTCTATGCATCATTCTCCTCCATTTATTCCAATTAAGAACTAATTAAAGTGTACATGCAAGCATTCCAGCATAACTTAATTAAAGATCCGTTGTGATCTACCATTTTATTTTGTAAACTTTCAATGCTACTTCTATCTACTTATTTTATTTGTGCATCTTTTAAATTTGCCATATATACCCAAACCACCATGTCTATCTTCTAATACCATAGCTTTATGAGATGCACTTTGCCATCTATTATTATAATAACTAAAATTTTTATCCATAGTAATATTACATATCTATCCTATCATTCTAATTTTATCATATTCAATTTAGTAACTAATAACTACTTTGCCACTTAGTCCTCATATTCATATAAATGAGCCAATCAAAATGCATTTTTATATAACGCACCTGCCAGATCTATTTTAAACGCCACTGTTAAAGTTACGAGGTTTTGTCAATGTTTATATCCATGTTCTTTTGTACAATAGATCTGTATATAATTAATCATATTATTATGTGATAATAATCAATTTACATCCACTAAAATATCACATAGTTAATCGTTGTTTTATTATTCCTAAGCCCCTTATAAAACTTCTATGTTGCTCTAACTATTCTCTTGTGAATAGTTATCATATATAAAAACTATATTGACAACTTTCATAAGTTCAGATGCCTCACTTCAATATTTAGTCAAGTATCTTGATAATGAAAAAAAAAGAATTCAACTTTGATCCTTAATATAATTTTACTATGATTAAAACTCTGAATCACGCCTATACTACTTCTAATAAAAGTTTGAGTACTAAATAAATTAATAAACTTAAACATACATCTGAAACAAATTTCTCATACCTAATTGCTAACTTACTCATTCTCAAGGTGCTTAACCATATGAATAAATAAAAAGCACAGAAAGATTTTATTGTTGTGCTATATGATGTTTCCATAATTAAATTAGAATAAAATCACCTACAAAAATAGATATTGTTCATATACAATCAAAATAATTCTCCAATATGCTTGATTTCAACATCATCATTGTTAGCCTTATCCTAACCATTTGGAATCCACATTATAAATCCTCCTTTTGCACTCGTTCATGTTGAGTATTGTTAGAAGTGTTAGAACTACTCATTGCAAAATAATTTCGAGCTTCAATTGAGGTAATCATAGGTCTGCCATTTTTCCTTCCTAATTATTGATTAATTTTATCTCGTTAAACATATGCATTTTCTATCCATAGCTCATGTCTAAATCAGTGAAGTCTAGGTTCAATCAACATATCTTTAATAGATGTTGAATCAATCGTTCCTTCATCTTAACATTCTTTATTATATCGCTAAACATAGATGTCAATGATTTTTTTTAAACAATATTTGAATCCATACATCATAGGCCTAATTGATATTTTTTAAAACTTACCTTTAAACTTATGCAGTATCCTCTAATCATACAGAACATCCATGACATTTCCCCATTTTAAACATCAAGCCTTAACTCTAGAAGCTAAATCCTTATTTATATCTTCATTCTTTTGTATAAAAAAATTCAAAATTTTTAAAACTATCACACCCAGGTATCATCTTATCATTGAATAATATTAAATGATAATTGCTAATATCATACCCGATTACATTATATATATATCATATACTCAATCATTCTTATACTAATTCTAAAGCATTTATTTTTTAAACATTTTTCTCTTCATCAATATCGCTTGTTATTTCATTTTATGCTTTCTAATTTATTTCAATGTAAATATGCATATGATGACGGTAATTACAAAAATGAGATGTGTTATCTAGTGTTTTGATTTTTTAAATGTTTTTGTTTAATGCAAACAAGTCAATTTCCCTGTGCAAGTGTTTCCAATTCAAACTTAGCATCTGTCTAGGCCTATCAATTTTGTCATTAGTGTAAGTTTTGACCATTGTATGATATTTAGTTTTCTTAGATTCCTCGTAACTTATTCAATTTTGGTATATTTAAAATATTATTTAGAACTTCTTTTGTAACTTGTTTTTTCTAATTTTACGATAAAAGAGACTAATACTTGCCTAAATTAAGTGTTGATGGACATCAAAGTTTGATTTTTGTGCATATACCATCCTAGATTTGCATGAACCCTATTCCTAAGACTCAATGCATCATCTTACCTAACATTCAAAAGAGATGAATGGCAAATTTAACTAAAGGTGGAGCAGTGCTTGCTATTGACAGTCGGTGCTTATATTAATTCCTTTAAAAGAATTCAAATGTATAATCCAAAAAAAAAAATCATTAGATTCATGTGCTACCACAACAAAAGTATAAAAATTGAATGTACCACATAAAACGCAAAATCCATAAAAACAAAACAAGCTGATGCAGCTGCTATAGGCAGCTATCACCATTCTAGAGATTTATGAGAAGGGTTATGCGCATCAGCAAAAGCAAAGCTAATTAAAATTTTAAACCAGCAAAAGTAAATATTCAAAGAACATGCACTAGCACTGAACAAATTTCTCCGACTAAGTTTGAAAACTTAATATTCATCAGGAACCAAATCCAAGTATATAAACAATAACAGCAGATGGACGGTTATTTAAAAACTATGTCTATCCATGAAATTATACAGAAAATAACACAAACCTGAGGAGAAATTAGCTGACATCTGCATGTTTCTGACTTGGAGCAAAATTCAGCTAATGCAAGCAATATTCCCTCGAGACGCCTCAGTGGGATTGGACTCTTTTCCAAGTAGTTGCAGAGCTTCTCAAGTACGTTTATGGTGATTGCTTGTAGTTGCAACTCTTCATTGTCTGTAATTATATCCAAAAGCGCAAACGGAGAATCATCTCCAACTTCACCGGAATCTTCAAGAAGTTCAACGAGTACAAGCAGCAGATTAGTTTTAGTTTGTAGATCACATGCATAGCTAGAAAGTTGTCCGATGGCAATCAAGCACATGCAGGCGAGATATCTTGTTCGTGGATATCGGTCATGTATTAGCTCCGTTAAGGCACTCAAAGCTTTTCCATTCTCAATGGAAGCGAATGTCATGGCAACTTCACGGTTATTTCTAATTATTGCAGCTATAGAACCTAAGCTCGCAACTCTTTGATTTAGAGATCCTTCGAGCAGTTGAGCAAGTCTCTGCAGAACTCCAGCATCACGGAGTGCATTTTGCTCATCATTATTATCGCATGAGTGGGCAATGATCCTAACGGCGAGTTCAGTCGCGTTCTCGTTGTCACTGTTGAGGAGTGAAAGCAAAAACACCATGTTCTTGTTCTGCAAAATGTCATATTTGGGTGCAAGCTTTGATTGGAATATCATCCTAAGAGACCGTGCGCCTGCATCAATGACCTGTTAACAGCATAGAAAATCTATGATTTTGGCATGTCAAATCAGAACTATCTCCATGAACCAGATTGCTTCAAGAAGTTAGAAATGTTTAGCAGAACGACAAGAAAATAATTAGGAAGATTATTGGAGGGAAGCTCATGTAAGGGGAGACACTTGGCTTTTATCAAATAAGGGCCAAATTTCCCTTTTTTTTTTTAAATCATAGAATGTGGATTTTGGAAAATATATAGCATTGACCTCTAAAACAATCTTCAACATCATGCTCAAATGTGTATCACATTTGTTGGAAATAATATTAAAAAAAATCCAAAAAGGCAGGGTTCAAGCACTCAAACAGAAAAAAAAAATGTTCAACACAGAATATCATAAGAGCTTAATGTAAAATTCAAAAAACAAATCAATTTATATTATAAGTAGTAATTCATTTGGCATGCCAACTGGAACTAATATCTACAAACACGAGTACATAGTAAACCTCCATGATTTCTACATTAACATTAAACATGTCAAAGTTTTGAAAAAAATATGTTGAATTTTGAATAGGCTTGATGCCTTTTCGCTTTGCTTTCATTCCATTAAATAATAATCTTACAATCTATTTTAGATACAAAATAAAGTGCATAATCTATTTTAGATAACTTAATAATATAACTTCTATTTTAGATAACTTAATAATACCTTTTCTCAATCTAAATATTCAGCTAAAAGGGAAATAAATTTAAATAAAGATATTGGAAATAATTTAAATAAGAAAACTTCTATTTATAGAAAACTTCTAATTTAATTGCCTGATTACGGTCTTTCTTAATTGAAAACCCCCTCAAATTGATGTCGACTGATCAAAAAGCATCAATTTGCCAACAATAAACTAATAACAATGTCGGGACCAACAATCCTCAAGTTGTGAGGGCTGAAGCCGAAAATTCTGAAACTAAGAATGTCAAAGTCTCATAGACAACTCCTGAACGATAACATGATTTGAACAAAGAAAAATAAGAAATCATTTATCATTGTCGTCCAAAAATTTGAATCATAGCCGCAAGAAGGATCCACTTTATGCTAACGATCATAGCCTACAAATAGGATCCAGTTACACAATCCAGAAACTATCGATCATAGCCTACAAGTAGGATCCGCGTCCTAATCCAGATGCTACCGATCATAGCCTACAAATAGGATCCAGTTACACGATCCAGATGCTATCTATCATAGCCTACAAGTAGGATCCACGTTCTGATCCAGATGCTACTGACCATAGCCCACAAATAGGATTCAGTTACACGATCCAAATGCTACTAATTCTTCCTGCAACAACGAAGACTTGATGAAAGCAGTTGAAGGCGAAAAAAGCAGTCTAAAATGGCGTAGAACACAGTCGACGAAGCGGGCGATGAAGCAGCGAAGAAGCAGTTGAAGATGCTGAGAGAGAAACATGGGAGTTCCTTGAAAATCTCTATACGTCATGATCCCGTCGTTGGTTTCTTGAGGGAGATAAGGGTGTCGGTTGGGCCTCGTACACAGGCAAAGCAGGGATGACAGAGGGATTCGGTGCACGCTGTATTCCCGTCGCTGATTTATGGAGAGAGATGAGGGTGTAGAACTTGTGAGAGCTAGGGCGGAATAGAGAAGGAGAAATCAGATCTCTGTAAGCCGACGATCCCGTCGTTGCCTTCTTATATGCTCTAATCGCCACTGTATCGCTCCACAGAAGATGGTTTGGAAGAAAGAGCAGGCACTAGAGTTGTGCGAACTTACAGAGTAACAGGAGCTTCGGATCTCTTTATACGCTACGATTCCCTCGCTGCTTCCCTCACTACGCTCGAATTTGGGAGCTCTCTCCTCCGTAGTATCAAGCGATCTCCGTGCTATGAGAGTCGAACCAGACCCTGCGATCGGTTCCCCATGCTATGAGATGGTCGAGGCGTCGAAGTGGTGCAGCTAGGGCACAAGCAGACGAACAAAGATAAAGCAAAGAAATAGTTCCTCCCTTCCCGCAAGAAGACCGGCGGGAAGAGACTCTTGACGGTCCTCCAATAACTACCGGTGGTTAGGGGAAAAATTTTGCCCTGATGTCATGTCCAAGTTTTGAGAAAAATAGAGTGAATTCTGAATAAGCTCGATGTCTTTTCCCTTTACTTTCATTCCATTAAACCGGCGGGAAGAGACTCTTGACGGTCCTCCAATAACTACCGGTGGTTAGGGGAAAAATTTTGCCCTGATGTCATGTCCAAGTTTTGAGAAAAATAGAGTGAATTCTGAATAAGCTCGATGTCTTTTCCCTTTACTTTCATTCCATTAAATAATAATCTTACAATCTATTTTAGGTACAAAATAAAGTGCATAATCTATTTTAGGTAGCTTAGTTGTTATCTGATTTTCATTCTTCCTGATTAACATTACATCACAATTCCTTATAAATAGCAACAAAATTATAGTAAAATAGTACACAATTATAAAAAGCAAATGCTCCACACACAAACAAAAAATTGGACAAAGAAAAACATGATGGAAAAAGTGAAAATCAATGGCGGGAAGAACATGATGAGTGAAGAGTTGGGTGATATGCGACTTTTTATAATGACAAAAGCAGACAAAATAACTACATCACAAAATTGACTGCAAAGACAAACTACCATGAAAAGAAAAAGGCTGCCCTAAATGGGTTAGAATCCTATATAACAGACATAATTTAACATAAATTATAAATTATGCTAACATATCAAACAAACAAATGAAAACCGCGAAAACAAATTTAGCAGGTTCTACAAATTTAAGAAGGCGGCAATGCCTAAGAAAAAACAAAAAGGTAATTTAATAAAATTAAGCACCAGCAATAACACTATTAAAATAAATAAATAAATATTCTAAAATGTTTGGCTATATTCTTTTGAAGGATAAGAAATTGACCAGAGGCGACTCATATAAGTATTTAGGTTTTCAACATCCCTGCACTATAAGCCTACCGTACTTTACTAGAGTTTGTGGTCGTACTTCACCAAAGTTTGTGGCTATCAAAAAATTAAATTGGTAACCCTTCTATCTGAGTACCTGACTAAATTACTACTGTAGATTTTCAATCAAACCACTTTCCATGTGATTATTCTTTAAGAAATGGGATTTTCTCCCATAGAAAAGCAAACCTTGACTTTAGTTGCTAGAGGGGAAAAAACTTACATCATTACTAAATTTGGACCTTTAAATGCCAACAGGAGGAATAGGATACACATAAGAAAAAAGTATATCAATAATGTGGTAGAAATACATATCTTCTAATATAGCACCCATACTTTCCAACATGACCACCTATCTAATGCATCAACACTCTACCTCCAATTGGATAGGATATATTTTTTAGTTCCTGCTTGTCACAAAAATAAGAGAAAAATAAGGGATTTGGCATGTTAGTGAAGATATCATCCACTTATTTACAATTGGGAGCATGAGGAGAAATAATTTCCTTGAAAAGCACAACTACAATATGTTCATTACATTCACCAAAAATTGGATCTTTGACAATGTAAATATTGCATGACCGTTGGAAAACAATATCATATGATCAGTGATAAAAAAAAATCTTCTAAATGAGTTATTACCCACATTATTTCACACTCAGAATAAGTCCTACCCTACATTCAACTTCAACACTATGTATAGCTACAACAATCTATTTCTTGCTTTTCAAATGACCAAATTGCCCCTAAAAAGATATGGCAACCTAAAATTGGTTTCCTAACTTATATCGAGCTATCACAATCAACATCAGAGACGGCTTTAATGTTAAGATGCTATGTTTTATTCTACAGCAACCCACTTCCAGGATATTTTTTAATCTATACGAGTATCGAAAGAACCACCTCCCAATGCCCTTTTCTTAATTATGTATATGTTGACTTAATGATCCAATAGCAAATGCAATATATATTCTAGTAAATGTATGGTAGATTGACTTTCCAATTAATCTTGGATAATAAGAAGTGCATCAAAGATTTATTCTTCATTGTTAGCCTTTTAAGTGTCAATTAGAGTATAAGTAAATTTGCAACCTAAAAGACTTTTATTTTTCTAAAAGATCAGTTGCATATTTCCTTTAAGCCAAGGAAACTACCTTTTGCTATATACGAATTTAATCACCATAAAATATTTAGGCCAACCTAGGTTTTTTGTTGGAAAATAATTTTGTAAATAGTATTTATTTCATTAACTATTTTATCACCTCTTGGAATTAAAATGTAGGTTTTGAGAATTTAACGGAATAATTTTATTAATATGAAAGGTGATATAAATACAGGTTATATGAATTCTAAAATAGAAAAGACATAACACCCATATCTATAAGATTACAATTAATCATTTCCTAATAACTACTCGATATAAAAAGAAAGACATAAAATAGAAAATAATCGGAAATTAAATAAATCAATACTAATAACTTCTAAACATAATAGAAAATAACCAAAAACGAAATAAATCAATACTAATAACTTCCAACACCCCACCCCCCTCAAGTTGAAACATAGAGGTCAATCATGTTCAACTTGGATTTAAAATCATCAAACAGTAGGCAAGGAAAATATTTTGTGAGGTAGAATTTGGAGTCTTCATCCTTAAGGCATTTAGGCATACTTTTAATTGATTGCAATTGTCTTTGACTGCAGTTTCTGAAGTTTCAGTAGGTAGGTGGAAGGGTACTACGAGTATTATTGCAGGAAAATTTGCAAGGAAGTAGATAAGTTACAGGGAAAGCTGCAGGGTATGGTTTGCAAGAAAAAACTTCGGAGGTACAGCCATGGGAAAAAGATCCAAATGAGGGCCTGCTGCAGGACAAAGATCCGGAGAAGTGCTTGCTGCAGGAAAAAACTCCAAAGAAATGACTGTTGTACAAAAAGCTACAGAGGGCTTGCTGTAGGAAAAAAAAACTCCGTAGGAGCCTACAGTAGTGAGAATTTTGTAGGTAGGTGGAAGGCTGCTATAGGTAAATGCTACGAAAATGATCTGCAGAG